CCAAGAGCCGGGGTCTGTCGGAGGTTTCTTCCGTTAAAGGGAGTTTTTCCTCCCCACTGTCGCCAAGTGCTTGCTCAAGGGGGGTTTGTTGGGTTTTCCCTATGTAATAATATTGATAACAGTAAGGTCTAGACCTTACTTTGTAAAGTGTCCTGAGATGACTTTTGTTGTGATTTGGCGCTATACAAATAAAATTTGTTTTGATTTGATATGAATCCTCTGAACAATCAATAATTTGACTCTCAGAAAATTAGATTAAATCGATTTCTGGCATGTCAGACATTTACATGTGCTGTTTTGCAGTTTGAGCAACTCCAGGCTCTGGCCATGCAGAAAGGCAAATAAAAATGTATAGTGTGGTAAAATTAATAAAAGAGCACAGTATCTGCCCAACTCAACATAAAGAAGTATACAGAATGATGTCAACATTCCCCTGAAACTATCTGCATGAAGAACAGAACTACTGCCATCTCTCACCTGTGATTCTGTTGGCGATACTGAAGAGTCGGGTCGTTCTTTGCCGTGTGGCAAATGACTCTCTGTAGTAGCGATCACCAAAGCACATCCCCAGCAGCTCCTTCCTCACAGTTTTGTTCCACAGGCCGTAGATGAGTGGGTGGCACACAGCGCTGCAGAAAGACAGCCACGCTACCAGAGTCTCCAGCCCCTGAGGAACACTCCCCTGCCCCCACAGAGCCTCGGTACACACCACACCAACATATGGCCCCCAGGTCATGAGGAAGGTGCCTATCACCACTAAGATTGTGACGAAGGCCTTGCACTGGCTTCCTGCGTACACAAGGCTCCGCCGGCTTCCATTTGAGGAAGTTGAGGTGCTCGAGTTTTTACGTCCGCTACTTTGAGCTCCAGCGGGGTCATCCTGAGCCACGACAACCGTCCCACAGTGGACCTTACGAGCTTTCATGCGGGCAACACGGAAAATGACCCCGTAACAGGCTAGCATGATGAAGAAGGGGGGAAGGATGCACCAGGTGACCCAGAAGGCCGTGTAGCTCAGCTCTCTGTGCCAAGACGCAACACAAGACCACTTGAAGCAGTCAAACTCGAAGGATGACCAGCCGAACAGGGGAGGCAGACAGCCCACCAAGGAGTGCAACCACACGTAGACAATAACAACAACCGCCCGGTTCCCTGTGATCTTCATGGGGTAGATCATGGGGTAGAGCACTGCGTAGTACCTGTTGGGACAGAGAGAGAAGTAGTGAGGAAACCAGTGAGTAGGGAAACTTTACACCTTTCTCATGGGAGCTGTCTGGTCCAGGTAACACAGAGGCTGCTCAGATTTGAGTGAGTGATATAGAGACCAAGCTGTAATGTGTTTTCCAAAAAGCTGCAAACAGAGCAGAAAGAGACTGGCTCGGCAGGAGAACACTGTAATCTAAAATTCCCAAAGGTGCCGAGGGTAATTAGGACATCAGCGAGAACAGAGGGAACAGTATGCTTCTGAAAAACTTACACTAGGTATTAGTTTTAACTGGGGCTGCAACTTAGTTGTATTTTTATTATTGAATAAGTTATTGATTAAGCTTCTAAATAATGGTTTAATCCTTTGGTCTGTGACATTTTTTAAAAACAACAAAATGCTGTCTGCATTATCTCAGGGTGCCAAGGCCTTCAGATTGTTTGCTTTGCTGACCCAAAAATATTAATTATACAATGATAAGAAAACTATCAAATACTGCAACAAGGGAATGTTTGGTGGGTCTGTTTTACATGATAAATAAACAATTAGGTTAATCATTCATTAAACTGTTGACAATACTTTTTGTTGTAACTAGTCTTAATAAACTACATTCTTTTATGGCGCATGGCTTCTTAACAGGACTGGGTATAATTTTACATTTTTTGATACCAGTGCCAATATGGCAGCAGCAGTGCAGCGGATAACAAAAGATACATTTTTATATTTTAATATCTCTGAGTAAAATAATAATACGTTTCCTCCTTTTTAATTAAAAAAAGGTTGGCTTCCTAAATAGATTGTATATCATTTCTTCAGAAGCCATACAAGAACTAAGATAAAATACCTTTAAAATTATCAATTTTTCCCCACAAACTAAATATCTAACAATGAATAAGTAAACAAGCCTTTGTTGTTTAAACAACAAATGCCAACTTTTAGTATTGTTCAATACCTGGTTCTTGCTCGGTACCTAAAAAGTAATGAAGTTTGACTGAAGCCCTGTTTCTTAAAAACATCTGTGACAAAATATCTGAAACAGGATTTAGTATGCTCATCATCTACATAGCTGTTAATTTGCCCATCAGTTTCTTATTTCTAAAAATGGAAATGAATGGAAATAGCCTCAGCTTTGCGACGGAATAGTGTATTTATGGCAGTAGACTGACGCTGCTCTGTTGTCTAATGCTTGTCACATATATAATCATTATCCAGCACTAACCTGTCAATGGCAATAGCTCCAAGGGTGAGCATGCTGGCAGAGCTGATGAGCAGGTAGAGCAGGGCAGTGAAGTTGCACCACACCACCCCAAACACCCATTCTCTCTTTGCCGAGCTCACAGCCACAAACGGCAGCACCAGCATGGACAGCAGCAAGTTGGACAGGGTCAGGCTGAACACAAACTTGTTGCTGGGTGTGAGCAGATAAGGCCTGCGATAGAGGGTGACCACAATCAGGAGGTTCCCCAAGCAGGCGAGCAGTGTGATGGTCATAATAGAGATTGACTCAAGGGCAGCATGACCCTCAGCATTCCCCACTGTGGTGCAGTTCCTACTGGTGTTCATGGTGTGTGACTGGACCACCGGACTGGTGAAGGAATGGTAGGGGACTGTGGAGAAGAAAAATTAATGAAGGGATATTACAAAGAAAGCATTGCTAACATCTCCTGTAAAAACAATACACCAGTGTGTTTGCATATTTCGTTCCTTAACTACAAGCCATGTGCTAAATGTAATAATTCTGCTGACCATTTCTTAATTCAAGATGCACAGCGGTAGAGATTCTGAAGTGTTTTTTCCAGCTGCTACAATCAGCAGTTGGTTTTCATTCACCCCTGTTCAACAGGAAACTCAATTCACAGGCTTTTAAAACACAATGATAAGTGAATATAAAAATAAAAATTGCTCTCAAAATCATTTAACTTGTGTACTGAGCTTCCATATGAACGCTCTCCCATTCTTTGGCACATTTAATTGTGTATTACTGTCTGTTATATCACTGTTGTGTGTTAATGCAGTTCAGTTTGCAACTCACTTTTATAACTGATTAATTCAGTGATTTATTCTATAATATCTCAGAAAAAAAGTGAATGACCATCACAATTTCCTGCAAACTCCAACATTTAAGAAGCTTCAGTGTAGACTGTTCAGCATTTTTGCTTGATATTTGAACGATTATTCTATCATGAACTTCACATTATCTCACTGGTCCTCACTGAACAACCATGTAACAATAATGAAGCTTTCATAAACTGTGACTTAATGTACCCAGTGATGGATTAGCCAAAAACTTTTCAAACTTTCAAGAGTCCGCTATTAGATTTTCATATTGCACAGAAGTAAAACTTGTTACTTTGCAGGTAAATGACAACACGTATTATTAGTTTATATAGTGACACATTTGCATTAATTAAACTACTAATCACGATGACATCTCAATCTTACCACCAGTAATAAAATATAACAAATCCTAATATTAAATAACCTTCCAAAAATGTAAAAGTAACGAATGTACAAGTGAGCCATTCAGCAAATGAATACTTTTGATACATCAAGCATATTTTAACGCTAATACTTCTGTACTTTTACCTAAGCAACATTTTAATGCAGGACTTGCACTCATTGTAGCCAACAACGTATTTTTACACGGTGGTCTTACTTTTACTAAATAGTCTGAGTACTTCGTACACCACTGCCTATTTGCCCTGACTCGCCATGTGGTTAACTACCTCTTTACAGAATGAAGATACTGTAGTTTTCTTACAGCTCAATACTGACAAACATTTAGCTCTGAAATTCCCACCAACATCCAGCTCGCTAGCAGTAACGTTAACGTCAGCTAACAACTGCCGTTAGTTAGCAACGGTTAGCCAGAACTTTCTCCCATTGTCCCCTCGAAACACGGCTAACTATCCCTCTTTACCTGCTGTGGCTCAGCGCCGTGGTTCGTAGCGATAAAACGTCCATCTTACTGGTCTGTTTTCACACACAATAGGCGAGAGGAAAGCCTGGAAAATCTCCCAAGAACCCTCGACATTGTAAAGTTTGGTAACGTTTGGGCCGAATCAGAAATAATCTCATCTGCAAAGTAAGCACATGCTAACTCAGTGATTTAGTTAAGTGACTGGCTAAACATGGCAGACCAGTTTATTGGAAGAGAGCTGCTTCATGTCGGCACCGTCGCACACACTTCTCTGCATGTAATGTGTGATTTTAATCTTAACTACACTGCTGAGAAACCCTAAAGTACATCTTATTCATCTTCGACTTCACCATGCAGTGAATGCGTTTTTACTCGTGTTTACACAAACTGTTAATGTACCCATGCGTATCTCTTTAATAACAGCCTGGCGGTGTTTATGAATGAGGTCCTACAAGCAGAGCATCGTTTTTAATCCGGCTCGACCACCCACGTTGATCAAAGCTTCCCGCACAAACTCGTCATCTTCTATCATCCAATGAGAAAACCAGAAGTTACCGACTCCGGCCATGTGATGGCGCAGTCTGCCTGAAAGTTATGACTGACCAGTGTAGGAAGTAATCATCAGATTGTTTAAGTAAAAGTACAAAAGGTCTATTAGCGTCACAATACACAAATTAAATTACTCATTATACAGAATGGCATATTTGAGTGTATAATGTATATCATATTATTGGATTATAATTATTGATGCATTATTGTGTAATCGCATTTAATGTTGCAGCTGGTAAAGGTGGAGCTAATCTTAACCACCTTATATACTTAATTTGAAGTACTGCTGTGTACCTTGTGGTCTTATGATGATACTGTATTTTGTTTTATTAATTCGATTCTGAAAAGAATGAAGTAACTAAAATTATCATATATGTAGTGGAGTAAAATGTAGTGAAGCCAGTGTATTAAAATATTCAAGTAAAGTACACTACAGATACCTTAACATTGTACCCAAGTACAGTACTTGAGTAAATTTACTTTCCATGACTGTTTTTAAAAAAAGACCTGGATTGCAACCCCACACAATGGACAGAGTGACTACAGAAGATAAATACAGTACCTGTGAGTCAACACTAGTCAGTCAGAGCTGAAGAAGCTTCTTGGATGAGATGTGAAATGTCTTCGGGAAAAGTCAAGCAAGTTCAGCTGACTACTTTTAGCACTTTAGATAAACCTCCACAGACAAATTCTTTGGACCCAGTCACCAAAGTATTACCACTAAAACTACTTACTGTATGTAGTTGGTTGAGGTAGAGTTTACTTTTTATACAAGGCTGAAACTAGTGTTGATTTTCATTATAAATTGTGTATTTTGTCTGCTAATTCATTAATTAATTTGTAAACATTATTACAGTAAATGCAAAATGTAAATCATTGACTGTGTAAATATGGACAACGCATCACCACTTCCCCCCCACTCAAAAGTGAAGCCAAAATATTACAAATAACCTACGGGGGCTGCCATCTTGGTATTTTGCAACCAGATTCTGCACAGTTGTGACTGAGTAGTTGAATGACGTATCAGGCTGCCAATCAAAGCTGTCAAATTGACTGAATACATCCCATTTTATATGAAGAAAAATGACCACTTTTACACACATCAGCATGATCATATCTGCCAAAAACCACAGGAATCACCTCTGGGAAAAATTTATCTGATTTGCTGGCTCATGTCCCATCCACTGACATGGAGGAGATTTATGACCCATACTGCAACCAGCCACCAGGGGGCAGGTAACTTCACTTCTGTCATGTCCATATTTTATATAGTTGATGATGTAAACAGATACAACTTTCCACAACAAGTCTCCGACTGAACAGTGAGACAAGACAAACAATGCAATCCATTCTCTAAAACTGAAAGTGAATTAAATAATGTGACCATAATTAATTTGAGCTAATAATGATGCCTCTGGGTCCCACGCTGAGACACAGATGAGACAGATTCTGACAGGATCAAATTAAACTCATGCTAGTTTAAACCACATTTCATCAGGTTACACGCCATGATTGTCCACTTCCTATTCTCTGCCTCAGGGAAGACAAGTGAGTGTGAGGAATAGAACAGCTGGTCATCCACCTCTTCCTTTTTACGAGGTAGAGAGTGCAGGAAGATCCAGTTTGGTTTGGCCACATTTCCTGTCTTTAGGGGACCACGGCCAAAAGAGAGTTAAGACCAACTTAAACGCAGTGTGGTGACTGACTATGCAGCATAATACAAGGAGAAAAGGTCCCATGTACAATCACCATCATCTGACTGTCAGTGTGTGTGCAGCTGTCAAAAGGGTCCAATTTAGGAAGATCCACAGACAGCTGCTAATTTCTCAAAAAGCTATTGGCAAGTTGCCGAGTGGCTTTCTAAGCCAAAATTAGAGCATAAAAAGTCAACGTTGTGCATTCTGCCTTTATTGATGAAATTAAAATAAGGGCCTTCTTTACCTGCATAGTAACCTGGTAACCTTTAAAATTGTTGAGCCTCTTTTCCTTCTCCTGCTCCAGTCCCATACCAACCCAGGTGTCAGTGACCAGAACATTGCTACCATGGGCGGCCTCCATCGGGTCAGAGGTCAGAACAAGCTGGGTCCCATGTTGAGACAAAATGCAATGTTATAAATTCATAGCCAGTTTACTGACCACATGTCTGTTTATAATAATGACATCTGAAGACAATCTCACCTGTTCGGACAGTCTCTGTGCCTCTTCAACAACATTCTTCTGTGGCTCATACCCCTGGGAATGAGGAGACACTTAGCTTAGTTTCTGATTAGGAATATTGAAGTATCTTACAATAAAGAACCATAGGTTTTTGTTTTACAAACAAGAACCTGCAAATGAGAAGATATGTGCACTAAAGAGAGGTCATACTTAACTGACTGTGTCATAAAAAAATAATTTTAAAAAGAGGCAAACCTTTGGTGTAGCAATCCTAAGGTGAACTCCCAGTTTGGCTGCAGTCATCATGTAGGAGTAGAGGACATTGGTCCCATCTCCAATCCAGCTCAGTGATTTAGAAAACACTAGGTCATTATGATTTACTGGTCTGAAAACTGCAGTAAACTGAAGAGCTACAATATTTGTATGGTGAGGAAGTCAGCCAGAATCTGGATTGGATGGTAGAGGTCAGAGAAACCATTAATGATGGGGATGGAGGCCTCCTTATCCAGCTCCTCCAGTCTGGCATGGCTGTACACTCGTGCCAAGACAATATCACACAGTCTTGAGAGCACCCTGTGACAGGAGTTTAAATATTAGAAAGGCCACGTGGTTCATATACTGGGAATAACATTACACGTGCATTTGTACCTTCCTAATATTGTTTGTTGTTCGCCATCTAAAAGGCGATTGCAAAGGCTTTTGCTTATAAACTGTATAATGTGTGGGCTACTAAAATAGAAATTTTAGTGTATTTCATCCGCAAAACAACACTACTAAAGTTTCTCAACAACTAAAAACTCCGTACAATGGCGTTTCAGACACGCAACGTTTATGCAGCAGACAGCTTGGAGAAAATGAAAACATTATTATTAAATACCAAGCTAGACGTTCAAATGTATTTTCTTCGTCCCATACGTTACGTTTTAAATGTATTTAATGGCTACCTTTCAGCGTGAAGGACCTAAAGCCACACTTTAAAGAAAATGTTTTGTTTTGCTTTTTAGTGTGTTGTCATTCCACTTTACAGCACCAAAAATGCTGTTCACTAAATAGCCTAAATAGACATAAAGCTCTACTGGGGTAAAGGCCCCTCATCATTCTAATCACAACTCTTTTTTCTTGAAACTACTACTGGTAAAGGTAAAAAATGTAGATATTAATCTTTATGAAAATATTTATTCTAATATACATTAAGAACAACATGTTTTTATGGCATAAAGGTCTGGCTCTGTATTGCACATTTCTTTACATTCTTCTGCATTTCACAATAATAATGAATTATAATAAATGTACAGGCTGCACATGAGGCAGAGAGCCCAGACACCAGGACACAGTCTTAATTAACAAGTGTGATTTTATGGGTTTTATTTGATCCAATCATGATTTTGCACAGTCTAGATCAAGGGATTAATTTTCAAACTCAGCGTGATTCAGGTGCCCTCTCTGCAGAGTTTCTGATTCATAATCAAAAGTTGTGGACTGCTGAGGAGATAGTGTTCACATTTTCTGGCCTCAAACAGGCTGCTGTTCACCATTCTGTTGACTCGAGTCAGTTAGCTGTTTCAGTCATTCTTCTTTCATTAAAAACGATTTGTATCTTTGCCAGTGATGTTTGCCTTGGTGGTTTTGTCATATGATAGTACGTTTGGTTGGATAAAACAGCCCTGAGGAGATCTCAGCAGTGGGACTACTGGTGTTTCGAGGCTTCAGCAAATTCTGAAAATAGATTCTGGGGACAAAATTGTAGGTTTATTTTAAATCAAATCAGCCTATATAAATATGATCTTAGTAGTTTCTCATGATTTTCCAGCTGTATGTTAGGACGTAAGCATATGTTTCTACCCTGTTTAAATGTTTGAGCCTCAGCTTGTCATCTATTAATGGGCAGCAACTAATTATGTTCATTATCAATTAATATGCCAGTTATTTTCTTAATTAATTAATTAACTGTGATCCAAAAATGCTTTTTTGTGATGATCAACAGTCCAAAACTTAAATAAGTTTGCTATTGGTTAGTGTATCATGAAAGTTTAAGAAAACCAGCAAATATTGACATATAAGAAGCTGAAACTAGAGAGAGATTTTCTTGGCTTTCTTTCTTGCTTACAAAATGAATTATTCAACAAAACAGTTTAATTTTCTGTCAATCAGTCCCTCAACTCCTCATATACAATCTCTCATTGGGTAAAGTACGGGGATGATACCAACAGATGACCACGAAGAAATGCAAAACAAAACCGAAAAAAGAGACAAAATACCCCTTAATCTCATGCCTTCTTCCTTTATCTTTCTCTCACATGCATACAAAAGTTATCTTTAAGTCACCATTTCCTGAGGTGATACAGTTTCACAAGAATAGCTGGTAGGGTGAGTCATATTCACATCATGTTCCCATCAGCTTACAGCTGAATAAATATAGCCTATTTAAATTAATGTAACAAACAGCAGGATTCCAGCCCTTTACCATCTATTAAAGAAATTCAAGTCTGCTAAACAAATGAATAAGTGAACTTACCTCTTGCCATGATGAATCAAAGCTCCACTGATGATGGCTTTTCATAGTCATCACACACAAGCTTAACTTCAACTCTGAGTTAATTGAACTCAGGCAGTGGAAAGATGGTTTTAATGATGTCTAGAAACACTGGAGAGCACTGGGAACACTGGAAGGGATTTCAAATCAATCTGAGCACAACAACCAACAAAAAACAGGAGACGTTCCTCTGTTCCTCTTGTCTCCTGGACTGATTGTTTTGAAGATGTCCTGTGAAATGCTTTTCTTTACAGAGCTGACTCCCTTCACCATTAATCTACTGAGATCTAATCAAACCAAAATCAAGGTCAGAACTCTGGGGGTCCATTTTATGTCCCTGTTACAATGGATTGCAGGGGAGACAGGGACAAAACATCCATAGAAACATTCAAGCCTCCAGCAGGTGCATCATTTTGAGGTGAGCACTACTGTAGCATACATACAATACCACCATCTGCCCTTAAACAAAACTTAACTGATTACACAATTATTGCCTTCACAGGATGGGCCAAAAACGATGTTTTCATTTCCTTTAAAATAATTCTATATATCATTTTACTTATCATTTGTTTTGTTTGCCAGTCAATGCAGCAGCCGGTGCTGTAAGGTTCAGGACTGTAATGTCCCCACTGTGCCAAGGGCCCTACAGCAAACTGGGGTGTGTAACACCACACTCCGACCACCAGGAGGCGGGCATGTGACAGAACTCGTTACTCAGGCCTCTTCTTGTTAGATGTTTATGCTTGGTGCCACAGCCTGTGATCCACTGGAGTAGGAAGTCCCTTTAGTGACTTATTGAAAATGACAGGAAATGAACAGAACCGGAAGAAATGATGAGAGATCATGTTGAACGTCAGTACAGTCATTTTTCACTTGATAATGTTAGTGGCATGGCAATGTCAGTCTGCTGGTTGATCCACCACTTTTGTTTACACTGAAATATCTCACCACCTATTGCATGTATATATTTTTTCTGCCTTCCCTACCAGCTCATTTGAGATGCAAAGGATCTCACCTGGACAGCAGATGACAGGAGCAGGGTTGGCAGTGACAAAAAGCTACAGTCAAATTATGACAAACAGTTTAGGAGTTTTCTGCCAGCTACAGTGTGGGAGCCAGATGGGGTTAGCTCCACCAAAAGAGACCTGAGCTCCCACAGTACGAACAACAAATGTTTTGAGGTTTACTTGTGCAATTAAGGTTACTGTTTGCTTTGAACAGTGTACTTTGAATGGAAGCAACATTCATGCGCTGTAAAAGCATCTAATACGATATCACATACCTTAAAGATCCCTACATTTCCACTCCTTGAGCTTTTTGACTTTACCTGCTGTCAATAATGAATAAATACCTAAATATTATAGCTATTACTAGTATTTTTCTGTTGTGTTAATTTTATATAACCCTATATGCTTATTTGTTATTTGGCCAATTATGGGCAGCACAAGCTGTAAATACACTGAATATTACCCACCCCCCAGTGAGCACCGGCACTTTTTTCTCCCCACTTCAAGCACTGGTAAAAGTGAATCCAAGCAGTAAAGTTGTGTTCCGGACAGCTATACAATGAGCCCAAACTCTTTATAGAGCCAGGGGGAGCTGATTCAGCTGATAATTCATTCATTACCATGAGTGACTCCTTTATCATTAAATTGTTTTTACATTGCCATTCAATGAACTGTTATAAAGTATCCAGTAGAGCCACCTCAAAACAAACATAATCAGCTGCTGCAGTAAGAACATTTTAGTTTGATAGTTTAAAAAGAAATTTTAAGTAATCTTTATTTTCTCTGTGGTTTATTACAGGAAAAGAAAAGGAGCTGAGTTCTCAGAAGAACTACAAAAGGTGGGACGGCTCCAGTCCAATTGGAAGACAGACCAAAATCCTCACAAGGCCATACCCACATAGCTCCTGAAAGGCTCAAGCTCCCTAATGAAAGAAGTGACTCTACTGAAGAGCACAAAGAAAAACCCCAAAGTCACAAAGGAGAACATCACCAAGCAGTCTAACAAAATCAAAACTCATGAAGCCAAACAAGCTCAGAAAGAGCTCTACCATTTTAAATCACCAAAACATGATGAGAAAAAACTATCAGAGCTGAGCCTAAAAACTCTACAATCTATCAGTGGGACACTGACTAAAGAGAATGACAATATCAGGAAAAATAGAAATTTGAAACAAAGTAACATAAATCTAGGGAATATAGAAGAAAACTCTTTCAAGAAAGCATTGATAGGACTGCCAAAAACAGAGACAACAAAATCAGCAGCTTTGGACAAAAAAAGACAAAATATTTCATGTAACTAAGGTAACCAAAGGAAGCATATCTGTCCAAAGTTCAACATCTGTAGAAAATAGTGCAAGAACATGCACAAATCCAGAGTAAAATTGCTGTGAATCAAGTTAAAGCTAAGGTGCAACAGGAGATTCAACAAGTCCATAGACTTCAACAAAAGATTTGCACAAGATTAAATCTGCACCCATTAAAGCTCAAAGTAAAACACTGAATGTAAATCAACTCCAGTGTAAAAAAACACAACAATACCTGTTCAGGCTGAAACTAAGACGGCCCTGAGAGTGACATCTTGGGAACAAGAAGTCATGAGTCATAATACTGTGCACAGGGCCTAACTGACTTTAATATTTATAAAAAACCATATTTTCCAAATGCAATGCCTTCATGTGTGGGCTCCTCAGGCACGCTATAACCAAACGTCATGCTTGAGGACAGCTCCTTGCTTCCCCGCTGTGTATTTTTGTATGTGAGCAGTTCTTCTGAAACAAAATAAAGAGCTAGATGACAGTCATGCAAATATCAAACCAGAGCTAAAAAAAATTATACCACAGAATCAGTGTAACCCCAGCATCTCTCCCTCCACCAAAAAAATAAAAATAAAAACATTGATTAGCATATGATTACTATAAAACTTGATTTCCTATAAAATCATTATCAAAAAGTGAGACAGAAAGTAAGTTTGTACAGTATGGCCTATTGATAAGTACAGCGCATTTGTGCGGGATTGGTCCACAGGTCATTCCCCGGAGCCTAGTATGGTTAATCCAGCCCTGTTACTCGGATAAATTCAACTGTCTCAAATAGTTCTTGAGTAGTTTTTACCAGTGCATGTGTCTGAGCATATGAGGTCAGGGACTTTCATGAGGAGTAAAATGACTTTTTGTGTAACTGTTGATTTGTATTAGGTAAATTCCATGTGGTGAGAACATGTTTACGCACATGCTGGCACGGCCCTCACTGCCTGTCTTGTCTCATACCGGCTGGACTGTTTTAGGGGAGAATCCTCCCTTGTTTCTGGAGCAAAGGTCTTAGTAGAACAGGAATGCGTTGCAAGTTTTCCTCTAAGCTTCCCTCCACGTTGAACAGGGTCCGTCCCGTGTCTCACTATGGACATGTGGCCGCTGCTGCTTCTGATTGTCCAGCTCTGCTTCTGCTGCGGGTATGAAGGTAATGACCGACAGAAACTCTCATTCACCACGTTATTTACCCACCTGGGACCAGATGGATCAAATAACCGAGTATCTTATCTTTAAATTGTCTGCTGAAAAATAGTGGTACATGCCTGGTTTGATTTAGACTGAAACAATTTGTGCTGAGACAGAACATCTGTCTCACTTTTGCGCATGCGTTTGAGGCTTCTGGTCCTCTGCTGGTTTTTGGTGAAACGCGTTTGTGTTTACGTGGAGGGGGTGGAGAGCGGGGGGAGTGCAGTGTGCATCTGGGGGACGTTTCTCTGCACAGAGCTCAGTCTGTAGCACTAATGACAGCGCCGGAGCTGCAGTGCATTGAAAACCAAATTTTAACCTTTACCTGTCTTCACTTCTTAACGCTTGACTAACGGAAACATCTTCATTAGCGCTATGAATTAAACCTACTACCAAGACGTTTCTTGTTACGGTGGGTCTTGCTCCAATTTACTGTACTTGACTGATGACTTTCTGTCCTGTTGTTGAGTAAACACAGACTCTCACACACTGGAGCTGAGTTTCAATAACTATAGGATTACTCCATTATAGCTAGTAAATAGACAATTAATTTGCAGCTTTATTAATAATCGATTAATCATCTAAATCTCAAATATTCTCCAGTTTCATCTTCAGAAATGTAAGCATTTGCTTTTTTTTTTTTTACTTCAATACTTTTATCAGTCAAAGGTTTGGACACATTTTAGGGCTACATTTATGGGAAAAGAGTTTCCAAACTTTAGACAGGTAGTGCAGGTTTCAGACTGCTAGTGGGAAAATAAAGACATTTAATGAAGCCACCTAAGGTGCTGTGAAAATATGTCACATCCCCAAAATGTTCTCATCTTTTGTATATGAAATGATTAACCGATTAGTTGTGAAAAATAATCACTAATGAAAACACCAGTATTGAAGTATATCATTCAACACGAGCTTGTCAGAGACACTGAACCAGACAGAGCAGAGTCTGTTGCCTGCAGGAAGGAGCTGAAATGACTTCAGAGCTCCAGTCTGGATGGAGCAGTATGTGTGTGTGTGTGTGTGTGTGTGTGTGTGTGTATAGATGGTTTGAGAGTGGCTCACCACAGCCCTATGATCATACAGGCTGAAACATGATCACAAGCTGCCAAGCAGATTTACTCTACAGCAGATAAAAACAGTTTGTAGAGCTGGCTGTCAGGACTCTGCACTGTTCTTGTGTGTGTGGTGGTGGCGGTGGCGGTGGCAGTGGCAGGGTTGGGGGGGCAGGTATTACTCATGTTGTGGGAACATAAACCTATTTACACTATCACACTATGAGGACAAGAAGCAAGTCCCCAAAATGTAAAACATTACAACTTAGAGTGGTGACTTGATTGGTTTAAGGTTAGGGTGCAGTTGGGGTTAATTCAAGTAGAAGGGTAGGTCTCCAGGAAATGAATGTTAGTCATTGTAATGTCCCCCAAAGTGATGGAAACACAATGGGTGTGTTTTTGATGAGTTTATTTTACAGGGGGTTTATCCTGGGGGTCAGTTAGCTCATTTAACAGTCACACATACATGCCTCAAATTTGTGTGGCAGTGCACTAGAGTTGAATGCTGGAGATAGATAGAAATTCAAGCCTTCTTTTTACCAGTGGAAATCTTTCAGGCTTCTTTGTAAGGGTAGCTTTACAATTAAACCAGTCTGCTCCAAGCATTCATAACAGCCTGATCATTTTTTCCATGATGATCCTCGTACTGATGCTGGGTCAGGGGTCACCATGGGGAAATGCCAGAGAGCACCATCACTGCAGAACAGTTACCCTACAGCTGTGCATCTGACAGAAAAGCAAAGGAAGAGATAAACCCTGAAAGCCTAATGAATCAGGAGCTAACTATACTGAAGGCTGATAACCACTATAGCATGTTTGGTGAGAAGACGGGCAGTGCCTCCTCAAGTGTCCCCAAAGGTGTTTTGATGTGGTTCAAAGGTGAAAGTAGCAAGAGCAAAACATATTAATCTTATGGTGGTGCTAAAATTAATGAGTTCAATATTTATTTAAACATGTTACGTATATAACAGCGCACTGCTCTAGCCGACCCCTGTGCTTTTCTGTGCGGAGTTTGCGTGTCCTCCCTGTGTCTGTGTGGGTTTTCTCAGGCTACTCTTGTTAGGTTGATTGACAGGAGTGAGTGTCTGTCTCTAAGTGTCATAGACTGTGATAGACTGGCTACCTGTCACCAGGGTGTACCCCACCTCTTGCCCAGTGTGAGCTGGGATTGGCTCCAGGCCCTTCGTGACCCTCTTCAGGATAAAGTATAGGTAGTGGATAGATATTGTTGCAATATACACTGTGTACATAGCCTATGAGATCTAAACATTCAATAAAATTTATTATTTACTAGTATTGTACTCTATATTGAACTATGTGTCAATCACTACTTAAGAATGTGTACTTTACTGTAAATACTAGCAAATGGTGATAAGCATGGTTGTTTCTTTGGTCAGAGACTTTTGATATGATTGAGAAGGCAGATGCCGACATGTTGGAAAATGGAGCAGAAATTATTTGTGCTTCAAAAGAAATTGCATAATGTAGCTTTGCCATTACAGCATGAATTGAGCTACAAGAACTGACATTTTATTTTCTGCCTTCTTCTGCTCTGTTAGCTTGTAGCCATGCTTCATTTACAGGGAATGAGCTTGCATGTATTTCAGGCCCACAGAGAAAAGCTAATTGGAATATCAGACCCTGTAATTTAAAGCATTTTCACTCCCAGAGTTTTTATGCTTGGTGTAGTATTGACATTTTGACATCTTTCTTGCCAAGAGCTCCTTTGAAGTAAGAGAGTTGAACAGGAAGACTCTGCTGGCTGCTGATCCCACTTACGAGTCTCAGCATATTCTCAGTTTTGACTTGTTCAAATCTGGGATGCTTTTATAAACAAGGACAAATCATGTCCAGCCAGTGTAACCCAACCACAAAGCTGCAATATAAGCAGTTAGTCAAACCTGTACCAGAAAAGTAGTGTCAATAGCCATTTAGATCTAAAGATGGAGACATTAGGGATCCATACTTCTGGTTGGCTTTAACACAGGCATGTTAATATCTCTCTTTTCTTTTTAGCCCTGCAGGATCATATCATGCAGTAGACCTTTTCTTCCCCTCATAGATGACGAGAATGTTGTTTATTTGATCACATTTTTTAATTTAGAGGTTTACAGAGTTCGGTTTGTGTTCTCATATACACTGCTGCTTACTTTGGAGAGGGCAGAAGTTTTAGACAACAAACCTTGGCTAAATTATTTTTTTTGCCTCTGGCTTAAGTTCTCATTAGTATTAATGTTTACATATATTTTGTATATTACTTTCAGACTCCAGGATATATCTACAGAAATTTACTATTGTGCCTGAAAAACCTAAGTATCAGATATTTATCAAGGGAAATTGTGGAATTTTATTTCAGTTTGAACATTTGATATCTGCTGGAGTGACAGTATGATGTGCCATCTTTACTGGTTGTTTGATTTTAATAGCTTTAAAATTAAGTTTTGAGCCCTTGCTGGAAAGATATTGGTTACATGCCAGAACTGAATATTTTACCTGTGGTAGTGTCTGTAGTGTGAATGATTATTATTCCAAGTGGATTTATTTTTGATCTGTCTTTATTACACTTTCAGATACTGCATTTGTATTAACTAAAATCATCCATTTCCTGTGGACATTATGGATTATAAAACAATTTCACATTGTTTGTTTTGTAGACTAAATATTTAACTGAAATAATTGGTAGATTATTTGACATTAAGGTTATTTGTTACTTGCAAATGTTTATTGTAGTCTCCTTTTGCCAAAGTGTTAATGTTTTCATGGAATGGCTGCTAGTTCCAACGTGATTGATCTTTTTTCAGGGGTATGGAGCTCTAATGCACACTGTGAATGAGAGACACATGCACACAACTGTAATTAATTTTGCTACCAACCTCCTTTCCCCCATTAAGAAGCAGACATTGTAGTTTTCTCAGTAGACTGCTAAATGTGACTCAGTCAGTGTTTGTTGTGAGCAATCATTTCTGTGTGATCTGACTGCTAAAACCTCATAGCTTGTTGTGTGTGTGTGTGTATGTGTGTGTGTGTGTGCAACAACTGACTTGTGGCATTTTGGTACTGACAGTTTTTATTAAACTGACAGAAAAGCCACGATGAGGAATGGGGTGTGAGACGTGCTCACCATATCAGGTTCATTGATCGATATGGGGCTAATATCTGAAGCTGGAGAAGCTCGAACAGTCCTCCCCTGTAGATTCAGAACAGAGCACACATTCAATCTGCGATAACATTCTGAAGCCAAGGTTGAACCCCACCCTCCCCCATTTCCTCTCTTTGTATTGCTTCCTAATCTGCTCCCCCCATTCCTTCCTGTTCCCTAAAATAATCCTCCTTGATCATCACAATTCCCCTCACATTTGTCTTTCACCAGCGCCACTCTACTGTGCCCTCCATCAGCTCTGCAACCACCACTGAGAAACATTTCAGCTCCTCTTGAATGCTGCTGTTTTATGGTCTGAATATCTTGTGCTCTGTCTCAATAATGTGGTCATTGTTAAGGCTGAATCTTGGCTGTCTATGGTAAGTGTGATCTATGGGAGAGTGTTTGGAACAAAGTTTTAAAATCTTTATACTCCTTTCATTTCTAATCTATCATGGCGCTACAGGGCTTTAAGTTATACATTAAGTTTTCCAAAACCAGCTGGATAAAGAGGATCTTTTAAGGTTTATCCTTCCTGCATGTGTGCTGTCCAAAAGATCCAAATCACCCCCAAGAGTGTGCTTCACTTGAAAAGTTAAGCAATATTTCTAAGCTTGTTCTTGGTCCTGTTTTGCTGTAAAACTGTGCACAGGTCAGCCGGGACAATGCTTTCAAACATTGCCTAACATGTTGAACTGGATTCAACTAGTCGTATTAGTTCCTTTTTCTTCTTATCTTTCATTCCCAGGGTCAGGATATTATTCCTACAGAGACGATGAGGACCGGTATGATCATAGATATAAAGGTAACCGCATGCTGCGTTTGACACTGTCAAACACACATATCATATGTGCATGCTGAAAGGTAGTCAGTTTCTCTTTAGTGAGTTTGTATTAAGATCAAAGTAGAGAATTACTTACTCTCCTACCCTCTAGTGAAACAGCGTTTAGAGCGGCTTCATCATAAAATAGAGCAAAACTTAAAATGTGGTTTTTGCCAGCTGAGGCCCAAACACACACCTCTGACCTATGACACTCTTTAGCTCTGCCAGTGGATACATCTGATAGCTGCAAAGGGCAGTGGTGGACGAAGTACTCCAGTTCTTTACTTAATTAAAGGTAGCAGCACCACAGTGTAAGCATATTCTGTTATAAGTAAAGTCTCGCATAAAAAATGTGACTTAAATATCAGTATCAAAATATACTTAAAATACCAAAAGTACAAAGTACCTATTATACAGAATGGCACATCTCACATGAATGTATATCAGATTATTGGATTGTAATTATCGATGCATTAGTGTGTACATCACATTTAATGCTGTGGTGTGTAAAGGTGGAGCTAATTAAAAGACCTTCCTTATATGTTTATAATTTGAATGACTTTACCTACTGCTGGGTAGGTTATGAATTTCTAACACCAGGAATTAAAGTCTTATGATTATAGTGTTTGTAGTTTTGGTAATTCTGACAACTAAAGTTATCAAATAAATGTATTTGAGTAACAAGCACAATATTTGCCTCTGAAATGTAGTGAAGTCAAAGTATGAACTAGCATAACATAAAAACTTTAATTGTAAAAAATAAAATAAAATAAACACATACCACTGACCTATACTAATGCTTTGCTAGCAAGTGTGTAACAAGTTGCCCTAAAACACATTTAATTTGATTCATTTACACCTAGCTTCAAAATGTGTCAGCACATTTTGTTTTACAAGAAGAGAAAAGAGGAAATGTTTGATATCCAAGGTAATTAAATACGGGAACACATGATTATAATTGAAAAAAAAAATTTCTCACTGTGTCTTTAAAGAGCCATAATTTAATGGCAAGCAGTTCAGCTGTTTTTTTTTTTTATGACACAGTCACGTCAAAGTGGTTTCCAGGTTTAAATTTGGGGGTCAGTTAGACATGGAACATTATGGTCCTAGCCAAACCAAACTCTGCTCTTGTGTAAAAGCTCAAATGAAGGATTATTTTCTCTTACTCAGTGGCTCTGGAGACTTTGCCAATACACACACATACAGAGAGGGAGAGAGAGAGAGAGCGAGAGAGCAAGAGAGGCTTGCAGTAATGAATACCGATCTTTATTCCAACTGGAAATTAGCCTAAGCTGATGTGTATTCTCCTCTCCAAGTGCGTCCATGTGTGTGTATTTGGGCTGAGTGTTTGCCCTGAGCCAGCTGGATATAAACTGCAGATTCTGATTCTCGTGTATTGGAAAATGAACCTTCTGGCCTCTCAAACTTGGCATTAAACAAGTAATTCTTACACAAATGTTATAGAGATGGCCTGAGATATCCACTATGGGAGGAGACAAATTGGAAAAAAAAATGTAGTTGTCTGATAGGTCTTAAATGAATAGTTTGACATTTTTTGGAAAAATGTTTTATGATTAATTTGGGGATTATGTCCTGGACTACATCTTGGCTGGGATTAGTGACTTCTTGGAGTCTCTGCTGGTTACTGCAGCCTAGTTTGGAACATAATCCCCCATAAAATGGCAATTTGTCAGTTTTACTCTTCAGTTTTTGTACAAGTTGAGTGAACAAGATGCATGTTAATTAGTGAGCTTTAGAGGTGGATTTTGTTACCTTTGGACACAGCCAAGCTTGTGTTTCTTCCTGTCTTCATGCTAAACTAAGCTAACTGTATCATTACAAGTGTTTATAGTCACTTGTTTATGTGCACAACTTTAAAAAAAAAAATCTAATATTGCCAAAAGGTTTCTACACTCAGCCAAGGGTAGTAGTTGATATTCTAATAAAAGCAAAATGCAAAAAGTGCAGTGGACACAGAGATGAATCATAGCCTGCAGGAAGCATGTGGCAAACTACAGCTTCCACTGTACTGGAGAAATGAAAAATAGATACAAACACTAGATCTGTGTGGCATGATGAGGATACTGTCACTAGAAAAATGTGTATTCATTCTTTTACTTAGGACTCTGTTATTCTAAACTGAAATATTAAAGTAAAATGTCTGTAGTTAGTATAAACACCATCACGTTTTGGTGGGAAAATCCTTGAAAGATGCAGGCAAAGCTTGATACGTGTAACCAAGTTAGAATCAGTAGTGTGATAAGCATCAGTAAAGAAAGACCACACTGTCTCCCTCATGCACACACACACAATGCTCTCTACACATCACTTGTCAACCCCTCAAGTGAGACCATCTTCATGACACTGTTGGATTATGGGAAGTCACAGATGAGGTAATGAGAAATCCGTTGTATCTGTCTGAACACATGATGGATGGATTTTCACACTTACAGTATAAAGAAGTTTTCCTAGGCGTTTATATTCTTCAGGTAAGAGCTTATTAAACTTATACACAAAACTAAACAACCTTCTCTCCAATTTCATGTTGAGTTTAAGGCCCTACTAAAAAACTAACTCCCTTGAGTCAATGGAGAAAAGATCAGTGTCTTTCCTTCATTTCTAGGGACACCGTGGTGTGCACCCATTAAGGTGAAGCATGGTGATGTGAGCTGTCGCACACCCAGAGGTGAACACTACGGGAACGTCATGGGGACTCGCTGTAAAATCCGCTGTAAGCAAGGATACGAGGCCCAGAGCTCAGAGGTGGTGTGCATGGCCAGCAAACACTGGTCGTTGAACTACGCCTGCCGAGGTGAGAACTAACACACGCACAGCAAATTATGTTTGTCACTATTTATATGCATACATGCATTTACAAACATGCATGCCTTTCTATGTGTAGTATATCCACGGACCTATACGCTATTTTACCTAATGCAGATTCCTGAAATAATCTTATAATTTGGAGCATTAGAGTTTATTCTTGACTCTGGAAATAACATGCCCACGTGCCAACCTTTTTAGTTAGGTTTGAATCACATCACCGTTGAGTTTGTTGTTGACATACAGATGCTGTGACTTTAAAGATTAAATAAGAACAAAGCTTATATGCAGGCAGAAAGAAAAACATCAGTAATAGGATTTTGAAAAGAAAACCAGCAGGACAAGTCCAGAGAAGATTAAAAACCTGATACTCGGACAACTGACTCGTGAAAAAAGGCAGGTATATTACTTTAGGTTGATTAAGAGACAGGAAACAGGTGAGCAGATGGAAGGTAGGAAACCATGGGTTACTGCATGCAGGTGGAAGCTGGAGTCAAGTGGATGACACAGGTGAGGTAGTTTGAGGGCATCTAGTGGACAGGTGGAGAACAGCATGTCTCCAAGGTTCAGACAAAAGCAGGAGAATGTGGCTGAGGAGGACAGAGTTGGAAAAATTGTCAGTTTTGGAAAGTTGCAGAAATTGTAGGACACAGTAGCCCAGTTCTGACACTGAATGGTGTAAGTCAGAATATTGCCATCACTACTGCTACTGTACCATTACTGTTACTATTACCACAGCTACTCTACAATCAGTTCAGGTTGAGGCATCCTCCTAGACAATTAGGTGTTGAGCAACTAAATGCTAGACATAAAACTAGTAGTTGCAAATTTTTAAAGATGGCCAACACTATGTGCTTGATATCTGAATTTTATTGAAAAGCCTGTGTCCACCCAGTATACAGTGTGACTTAGTACCCACAGTCCTTCAACACTGAGCTCTTCCTCTGACAGAGATCCGCTGTCCTAAACTGAACATGCCTGCTAACGGCGGCTACAAGTGTTCAGATGGCTCCTACTTTAACTCTCGCTGTGAGTTCTTCTGCTCCCCTGGATTCAGTCTGAAGGGCCAGAAGACAGCAACATGCCAGCACACCAAGGTGTGGAGCGCTGGAGACCCCACCTGTGTTGGTAAGACTATGTGTGTTGTTCTTTTGTGCACCGCTTGGTCTTGCACAGAGAATTGGAGCCTTCAGACTACTGAGCTGCACTGCAAAAACTACTATATAACAAGACTAGTGTAATTATTTGCTTTAGACACAATTACCTAAAGACTACTGTATAAAAGTGTATGACACTGAGCAAACACACTATGGTTTTTCTCATCACCAGAAAATTAGCAAAAAAAGTTACCTTTTGCTGTGAAAAGCGTAGCTATGAGGTCTGCACTTAGGGGATTATATAAATGGCTGAATAGTCTTGCAACCTCTGTAACTGTGGACAATCACAGCAAACAACACCCTCATGTTGCATCTTTTGTAGTTAACATGCAAAAAAGCAGAAAAGACATTTAATAAGCAAGCAGCCCTTAGTAAATCCTTAGGTAATCATAGCAGCTAACTTAGCCCAAACAACGGCACACAGCTTTTCAGAAGGATACACACCAGCATTCAAATTTATGAAGGAGCCACAAACCGAAAGGGATCAATAACCATCTACAGTATGTACAGCTCTTCCGTGATCACTGTGACTGACTTTTCCCCACTATCAGTAGTGTCTGTAATATCATTTATCGTGACATGCTGGGCATTTTTTCCTTATTACAGTTCATGGGTTTCTTTTGAGTGTTATTTTGTGCGGCTCTGTGCATTATTTTGTGTGGATCTGGTGTCAGATCAGGGATTGTCAAAGACCAGCTTGAGGGCAAATCCTGACAGCCTGTTCAGGGGCCTCTCTTCTCAACACCATTGCATAGTAATTTTCCCTGGCAATGACAAATTAATTATAAAATTAGTTATAAAACTAGGAACAGGCATCAGTTTCTTACTAAGCAGCAAGGCTGTTATTATCCTTTCACTGTTAGGTATCAGAAGCCAGTGAAAGCTTAATGAATGCTGTTTTTGTCTGCTGAAGTGGTCCATGGTCGTGACTGGTTGTACAGGCTTTTGTGACAGTTGTATCGCCTCTAAAACTGGAGGTCTGATCTGAACATGGAATAAGCATCAATATAAGGCTGCATTCAGCTTTATGGATTAATAGCCATAATATACCCAATTCAAATTGCAATCACTATGTTGTACTGAAACAATCACATGCTTGTGATGGGTTATGGCCCAGCACTGGATATTACATGACTATCTAGCTCTATATTGCAATACAAGAACAAGCCATTTCTTTATTTCCACCTCTTCTACATATATAATCTGTATTATCTCAGTATATTAGCATGGTATTATGGATGTAGCCATCAAATGCATATTTAAGACTCTTTTACAGGTTTTAGTTCTAAATGGAGTCAGCTAGAAACACTGGGAGTCAACCCATTCACTCATGAAGCTAATGTTAGCATCTAGCTAGCTACGCCTGAAAAAAAAAATCTAGTAACTCTTATTTTTGCTTATTTGAGTGGTAAATATACTTTTGTTATTACTGTAAAGAGTGGACCATGTGTTTTCTTCGTTTATTGATTTTTTTCCTCTCATGCTGTAGATATTGATCCCCCAAAAATCACGTGTCCTACTCTGAAAGATAAGTGGGCAGAGCCAGGAAAACTGACAGCGAGGGTGACCTGGGACACACCAGAGGGTGTTGACACTGCAGATGGAATCCTTACAGAGTCAGTCTTGTTTCAGCTACCCATTAAGCCATTCTCTGATTTTCCTTCAGTGCCCTCAGTCTGTTTCCTGTGGGTTATTCCACTCTGAACAGGAAGATCACAGTGAAAGATTAAAACTAAGCCCGTCTTTTGCAGTGTTATCCTGAAAGGGAGACCTTCAAAATCAGACTTCCCAGAGGGGCTTCACAAGATGGCCTATACTGTGTTTGACCGTGCAGGGAACAAAGGATCTTGCCGCTTTACTGTCAGAGTGCGAGGTGAGCTTCTAAAAGCAGAGCAAGACAAGTTTTTTTTTTTTGATAATCTGTGTGGAGCAGTCTTTGTAACACTATTTTAAGGGACTATTTCCAAGAGGTCTCCTGGATCATACTATGTATATTGGGTTCTAATTATGGGGAAAAACAGGCAATGTTTAATTGACACTTCTAATTATAGTAAATAAATTGCTAGTATATCCCAAGTTTCTGTTAGTGCAGGTCAGGTCAGTGAAACATGAAAAAATGTGAAATTTGTCTACAGACAAGAGTAGACCTCAATTCCTATAGCTTTCTTTTAATTGGTAACAAATCAAATAGCTAGTGCTTTGCAGAAAATTACTTCAGAATTATTGACCCACAAAATAAAAGATCACTAGATTTCCTGGGCTTTGACTGTTTTGTTACAAAGAGGGCAGAGGTTCATTTCTGGAGCTGCTCCTTCTCAACAGGAGATAGCTCTACCTCACAGAGACAAACTAATGGTGGGTTCAAATGGCCTTCTTCAACTTGTTGCATCAGATATTTTCAAGTTTTTAGTTCAAAGTATATCAAATGAACTATGCAGGGGTGAAGCAAGTCAGTGGCAAATACAGTATATCCATACATTTCGACTTGTAAGAACAGCTCAGAGAAAATCATGAAATAACCACAAGTGCTCAAACAAAACATAGCGAGTTACTGTAAAACCTCACCACTAATTTATTTTATATGTGAGCTATGTTGGAAAAAAATTGTTTTTTTCCAAACCAGCTTTTTGTGGAGTTTGTAAATGTGTCCTGACATTGTGTGTCCCAACTGCCTCCGTTTAGTGCGCCGGTGCAGCCCACTGTTCCCCCCAGATAACGGTTATGTGAAGTGTGACAGTGACAAAGACAACTACGGTGCCACTTGTCAGTTCACCTGCACCGGTGGTTACGAACTGCAGGGTAGCGCTGCCAGAGTGTGTCAACATGGACTCACCTGGTCTGGTTCAGACACCACTTGTTCACGTATGTACTGCATGCAAATGTCTGTATAATTATTTTGAAAATTAGCCTCTGTTCCAGTGAGTCAGCTTTTCCTGTTCTCCAAGAAATATCATTAAAATTGACAGGGCACTGAGCTCAATAGGCTCTGCTTACAATGACTAATATGTAAAAGCCAAATGACATTTAAGTTTATTGCAATTAGTTTCGATTTTTCCCCATTTTCAAACTATTATTTGGGCAGCTCCGTGATAAGTCTTTAAATGTGTCAATATAAAATACTCTGTAGATCAATTTTCATTATTGTAATCTAGATGTAGGTTTGTGTAATTTTATTAATAAAGCAGATGGGCAGACTTAGGACTACAGCGGTATTGAGTAGCTGGTAATATCTGACAACTGTTTCCCAGACTACCATTTATTTTTAAATGACATGTACTGTCTTGTGCCACAGTAGCAATAAACAGAAGCATTTCATAAATGTTGCCTGCATGTGCTACGCTGGTTCCCTGTGAGCAGCTCAGTAGAGGAGAAAATAGCGCCACTGCTATCCACTGATTAGGACGATCAATACTGGACATCCCTACATGAAAAAGTAGCGGATGGGAAAGACTGTATTGCAGCTCTTGTATTAATTGCTGATAGTCTGTTGCACAAATTGTACTGTACTGCTGCATAGTGCATACATTTATTGATTTCATGTGAACATGTAGCATCTCACTGTAATGTTGTGCCATATTAAATCTTCTACCCCTGTACTGTGTGTCATATCTTGTCACTTAATTGTACATTCAATGTCATCACAGCCATGAACATTAACGTGGGAGTGCGGACGGCTGCTGCACTGCTGGACCAGTTCTATGAGAAGCGACGGCTCCTCATTATCTCGGCCCCAACGGCTGCCAATCATAATTACCGCTTCCAGATGACTAACTTACAGGTGAGGCACGACTCGCTGAGTTTGTGACTGAGATGGAGGGAAGAGCAAGGGTAAAGAAGCGATAGACGTCAGTAACACTGCTGTTTGTGTGTTTGGTTTTGTCATGCTTAGCTGTCTAAGTGGGACAACGCAGTGAGAAAAATAACTAAGAGGAAGGGTGTCTTGATGAACAGAAACTGTCAAGGTGATGAATAAATGATACTGACACCAGCTTTGATAAGGCTATTCTGGGTTCTTAGCTCATCAGAAAGCATCAAGTCAGAGCTGTCCTTATATGCCTAACCTTTCAAAGTGACTGGGTTATAAACTGCAAGACAGAACACTGTTAACACACAGTTTGTGAACAATGTGAATGATGGTTCCTGAATCTGTCAGGCGGATTGCTTGTGCCATCTCTAATTGCCAGCTATTTTGATAGTTTGGCTTCTGGAATGACTGTGGATTAACTCAGTTAATGTGAAAAAATAGAAATTATGGCAAAAATACATATTTACATTTGTGTTTAGAAGGAAAATAAACACTTGAGTTGTTGTAAATGATTCTCAAACTGACAGGACCAAAGTGCAGACAAGTAGATGCAGAGAACAAATTATTTTAAGACAAACAGACTCACACAAAGTTCAGGCAAGCAAAACCAGACAGGGATAATAGCAAGCGAAGCTGTGGTATGTGTGGAGGTCAGAAGCCAGCAGAGACATAATCCAACCCCGTCTTGGTGGGTCAGGTGGCAATGCCACACTTGCCTCACCTACAGTAACACCACTGTGGTACCCCTGAACAAGACCCTTAACCCCACCTGCTCCAGTGGAGCTGCTCAGTGACCAGTAGATCAGTCTGTGGTTGTACTGAGCAGCTTCCAGGTGTGAATGTGCTCAGGGCGTTCCTGCAAAAGAGAGGTGGCTTGTAACAATATACACAATATACACACCTACACTACCTAAGCACGTGTTACAGGATTTCTTGCCAATTTCCAAATTTAACTTGCTGCTTTAGGTCAGCTAGCTCAGAAGCTAGCTTCTAAGCTAAGCTAGTAGTTTAGTTGAGAGCAATGGCTTCCCGCTCTTTCTCTTGCTCAGAGTGTCGCATGTTCAGTTATTCCTCTGCCTCCTTTAGCGACAAAGGTACATGTAATAAATGTCAGATGCTAGCAGCACTGAAGGCGAGGCTTGCCGAATTGGAAGCGCAGTGCATCCCCATAACATTGGAAGCGCATCCAGTCCCATGTAGCTTCTAAGCTAAGCTAGTAGTTTAGTTGAGAGCAATGGCTTCCCGCTCTTTCTCTTGCTCAGAGTGTCGCATGTTCAGTTATTCCTCTGCCTCCTTTAGCGACAAAGGTACATGTAATAAATGTCAGATGCTAGCAGCACTGAAGGCGAGGCTTGCCGAATTGGAAGCGCAGTGCATCCCCATAACATTGGAAGCGCATCCAGTCCCATGTAGCTGGTGTGGAGCCTCCTAGACGTAGCTCAGCCCAAGCTAGCTGCAGTCATGATTTTACCTTTCTAATGAATTAATATGATTTTAATTTTAAATTTCATTAATTTGAGCTAGTAGTAACTAGTGTTCTATTTGATAAATTCACTTCTTAGTCATTTAATGCTAATTAATAAGTTAATGCTTTGAACCAGAGGCTGAATTTTGTACAGTTTGTGACAACCAGGCATCTTTAGTTTACTTCATCACTAGGAAACGGGATGTAATGAGAGGGGCAGAGAGTGGTTTGGAGTGGCTTATGGTGTCAGCTTGTTCTGAATCTCACTAGATCCTCTGGCTGCTGAAAATAAATAAGGTACAATAGCTTTAAATAACATCCAGTCTGAACATGTGTTAATAAATGGGTACTTGCATTTGTCTGACAGAGCTAAGGGGGAAATCACTGCTGTACATTTCAGAACTTCGCAACCTACAGTTACCAGACTTTACACATAGTCTACACATAGGGCATCATTCTGCACAGTGAAAGCTCAACATCCAAGTGAAAGGCATCCGAGTGGATAATTAATCATGAAAAAAATTGATTCCTGCCCTGTTGCTGACTGTACCAGCTGTGGTTTACAGTTTTGTAGTATGAGCTGTGCTCAGTTTTTCTTTGCCTACAGAGGAATTGATTTACAAAGCTATAAAACGTATTGATCAGTTTCTCTCGCTCTCTGTTGTGGGAACAGCAAGCTCAGTGTGGACTGGACCTGAGGCATGTGACAGTAATTGAGCTGGTTGGGACTTACCCAGCACAGATTGGTCGAATTAGACACAGGCTACTCTCCCCAGCACTGGCCCTGCAGCTCAGGTACGCAAACATACACGTTTTCATGATGTGCGTTTTTCCACTCTCCACATCTGCTTACTGAGCTGATGTGTGTTTCCTAGGTTACTGCTCCAGATCCCACAAAGGTCATTCCAAATGGTCCTGGTAGACAAGCAGGGCATGGACAAGCAACGCTACCCGTTCCCTGTCACAGCGGCTGAATTATTCACCACCATAGACACATTTCCCCTCCGCAAGGATGAGATGGTACTACAGCAGGAGGCGGGTCAGACATGTCAATCATAAAACACCCCGGCCTTTCTGTGCACTTCAGCAGACTGACAGCCATCTTTGATCCTTTTCCTCCTCAGTCACAGTAGACAGGGCCTACTCAGATCATCTGTTTCTATCCATATGTCACACACTCCTACCTGAACTCATTCAGTCCAAAAGACACAGGACTGAAGGTGAGTGTGTTTGTGTGTCTTATTGTGTGTCTGTATCTATGTGTGTTTGTGTGTGTGCCATCAAAAGTCTGGATGTCAGTCATGGTGCTTCTCTGCAGTAAGCAGATTTATTTAACACATTACTAAATGGTAAGGGTCATACAGTATATTATAATCATATTGATTTCTGTCTTATTAATTATAAAAAATACAGATAGATATTTTTCAAAGCAGAAATATGTTTAACTATTTTGTATAAAAAGTATTTTTACTGTATGAACTAGGAAACTTTTCACCTGTCTAATATTTATGTCACTTTTCTAATAACGATATACTTTGACACTGTGTGTGCGTTATGTACAGCGCATCTTTACATCCGTGTCTGAATTTACAAGACACTGATTAAATATGTCTTTTGTGGAGGATGTGATCTTTAGTGTGTCAGTGTGCGTGTGAGAGACGTGATACCATATGGGGACAAGTACAGAGAGAAGATGCACTGCTGTCTACAGCCGAGTACTAAAATTGTTTTTGCTAAAATAATCAAGAAAGTACCACAAATGTGCACAAAGTTTTCTAGCATGAAGGGTTGTTGTTTGTCTAACTTCAAGACATACTTATTTATTGGAGACAAACTCTTTGCACTGATGGATTTCAATCCGTGTTCGTGCCCTGGCTGTGGATGTCCAGATGCAAATGTCTCAAAAACTATTACAGGGATTGCCATGGAATTTTGGATAGACATTCGTAATTTTCAAAAGGATAAATAATAATGATTTAGGGGATCGCCAGATTTTTCTCTTAGTGCCACAGCAAAGTTGATATTTATACTATTTACTGAAATGTCTATAGTTATTTGATGGATTATGATAGCTGGTTCAAACATCCATGCTCCTCTGGGGAAGAACTGCAGGTCTGTGTGAACCTTTACTTTGGTTTATGTGCCTGCAGCACTAATGACAGCATGGCCACAGCTGTACTTATCTTCACTGCAATTTACCAGTGTTGGCATCCTAACACACTAAACTAAGATGTCAGACATAATTAACATTACACCTGCTACAGCCTGCTGACATTGGGCACATACTGCCAAGCTGACATTAGCATTTACTTAACACCACCTGTAGCCAAGTACAGCTTCACAGACATGGTGGCATATGGCCAAGAGCCAAGGTGGTTTCTGTTTCCTGTTGCAAGTCCAAAAACATAGTGGGATGCTCTTTTGGGGATGCATGCAACCAGAAAGTGCCAGCTGGGGGGCCTAGATATCAGTTTCATTTGTGATAAAGAGTGGGTGAGAGGGGAGTACTCACCTTCTGTTGAAGGTTCTTTTGTTCAGTTTGCTGTAATATGTCATGTACAGCCTTTTGAAAGGTAACAGTGACTCCCTCTTCTACAACAAACAAGAAAGCTGTTTATGTTTGGTTTGGAAATCAGAGAGACCAAGCTACATTAGCACTGCAGGGGCTAATTTTTAGCTTCTACACCAGTATTTTTAAAACAAAGGGTTGCAAATCTTCAAACATACAAAAGAGCAGTCTCCTGACTCACCTGCACAGACCAGCAGATGTATGTGGGGTTTTGATAAAATATGGGTTATGGCTTGCTCATATAACAACAAAAATACTTGTCTGGTTTTCAGCAAGGGCACAAATCAAGAGATAACACCTGAGCCTGAACCAGGTGTATCTTATTTGGGACACAGGTGAAAGATAACAAGTGTCCTTCAGGAAGTACTTTCCCACAACATTTACAAAAAGGAAATAAATAAATGCAGAAAACAAAGTTAAACATGGTTATTGAAATAATTTTCTCATCTAGGCCTGGGTGTACAGTTTTTATTGCATGTTTGTGTTCAGTCTTTTAAACATAGTTTTGTACGTCCTACTGTTTTTGTAAAAACAATTTGATTAATCTTTCTGACACAAGAGTTTTTTTGTAGTGTCAAAATGGGCAGTCAGATTAAACAAGTTTTTGTGCTGCACACATAATAAAGACAGCATTTAATAGTGATTTCACATTGGAAATAATCTCAAAAACAAAAACAGTCTATTGAAAGATGGGTTTATTTCAAAATATTCCTGTGACACATTTGGAACAAAATATGCTTGGATAAAGTGAATTTGATACTTGGAAACCAGACACATGACAGTACATGCTGTACATCAAGAGTTTCTTTAGTAATCAAGTATTGCATGAGCCTCTCATCTAGAATATGTTGTACAGTGAACACCACGTATTATTACTGAATGTGAAACTGTTTTGCTCTGGGAGTTCAGAGCAGAGGGTTTGTCAAGGACAAGTCAACAAAATTGGCATTCCACATGAAAAATGATTCTACGGGGTTTAGCTGGAGAATTGTTTTTTGTGATTCATCACAGGATGAAGGATGGCTGAGCCCTGGGTGACAAGGACAAGGTGACTGTCACTGACTCAGACTCAGGCTCCTCCTGAGATGAAGGCAGCTGACTCACTCTGTAACACACAGCCCCAATCTCAGGATTCCTGAGACTTAAAGTCATATAGTAGGCTACCATGCAATTCCTATTATCTCACTGACACTGTTTTATGTAAATTTACATTGATGCTAGTCTCAATTGAGTAATGTGTCTGGACTTTGTGCCACAGATTCTTTTCTGATAAGCGGTGGAAGATAAGTGCTCTTATTACTGCTTACTTACTGTTTCAATATAAATTTTAATTTATCTTTGAGTTTTAGACAACATAAGCAATCGGAACAGATTGCCTGAGGAGAATTTGAAAGACACATTTTAGATTTTTTGAAATTTGTTTTGTAGGCTAAAGAGTTAATCACAATCAAAATTGTTAAAATAATCTACAAGGACGTTTCATAAATCAATAATTTCAAAAATGCTTAAATGATGAATCAAGTTTGTTGCAGATTTAGTTTGTTGCATGTATTCTAAAATATGTATTTCTACCTTCACCCCCAGGAAAGTTTTGTCATGTTCAGTCCCTTTTCAAAGGCAGTAACAGTAGTTTCTAGGAGGACACTGTGTTTTGCTTCCATCATATTTGTCCTCTAAGACAAAACTTAAAAACAAATGCTGATCATCACTTGGGTGAGATTCACAGACTGGCTGCTGATGTGCTACTACCGTAGTTTTTGCTGTGAGGTGATCGTCATTCTGCTTCATTAGTAATTAAATCAAGTGGGACAGTACAGTAGTAATACAAGTCACATTCCACCTCTGTGCACAAATGTTTTTATCTCAGAAATATTTTTATTAATTTTTTGAACAAAGAGATACCATAATGTGAACGACAGGCATCTAACATTGACAAGAGGTCTATTCTGTTCAGGAAGAGTAAACCTGTCTGGGTACAGTGAAAAGAGAGAAGTGCACAAATGTTTATGGTGAAGCTCAGCAGTGTCATCTGCCTCAGACCATGATGTAGTTTAGTTGCTCATAAAATGAATGTCTGAGTCTCTACATTATCGATCATACAGGGAATGTTGGTCAGTGCTACTGCCTTACGAACCTCTGTCAGCTGTAACTACTGTATGTGCAGAAATGACTCTGGTGCATGAATCACAGAGACGAAGACAGACACATCAGGAGTCACACCGTGTGCTTATTCTGTATTTAGTAAGTTACATGTAACATGTTTTTCATATATCTACAGCATTAAACAGCAGTGCTTAGTCACGACTAGATGCTTTGGAGGGGGGAGGGGCACATGTGGATGAGTGTGTAAGGCATGGCTGGCTGTTCTGGAAAGGAGGAGGGATCAGAACAGAATATCTCACGGAGAGAGAAATAGGGAGAAGACCGGTCTCTCCACTGTTCTGCTTCTCCATCTCTATCATCACACCACTTCTTTCTCTTTCCTCTCTCCCTCTGTTATTCTCTTTTATCTTCTCTGTCTGCATTTCAGTCTGGCTCATGTGCTGTGTTTGCGCATGGTGGATCGCAGCATCAAAGTGCACTCCTGAGGGACTTCTGGGTTTTCTATCATGCGTTGCCACACTCTCTGTTCCTCCCCGTGGGAGTCCATCCAGTCTACATCATTCCCGTAGCTTTTGCCTTGAGCGAAGAAACACAAATATATGTTAGACTTTGTTAGAACAAACACAGGACAAATACTTCTTCAATACTCCACACTAGCTTTGGTCATTGGTAGAATTTATATTGGTTATTGTCATAATTTTAAATGAATGAATGAATTCATAGATGCCATATTCAAAGCTTTTATACTGAAGTCCAAAACTAAAGTATTGTTTGGTCATTTTGCCTTTTATATTTTATATTATGGGTAGAACAGGCTGCAAAGAGGAAACAGAGAAGATACCCTGCCACATAGGTCAGCGGCCAGACTCAAGCCACCAACATCGCGCATCACAATGCAACCCTTCGGCTATCGAGGTGCCCAGATTTTTTTCCATTAATGTAGGGGTGGGCAATTCCAGAATTTGGAAACAAATAGTTAGCTAATTTAAAGAAATATTTTTTGACATTTATAGAAATATGTTTAGAAGATTGATGCCACTCTTGTGTCTGAAGCTGGAATATGAAGTTGGTTAGTATAGTTTTCACACACAATCTAGAATTTTGGGTTTAATCCATGCAAAAACTAAAGTGTAAAGATAACAACTACAGTTTTACTGGAGGTTATGTGCTGTTTTTTTTTTTTTACCTGTTACAGAGACTTCTTTGGATTGTCATATTTACACTTTTTGTCAGCAAACAAGCTATAATGTGTTAGAGAGCTTCAGAGGTGCTGACAGGCACATTTTGCTACATTTGGACAGGCTAGCTGTTTCCAGTCTTTATGCTAATCTGAAAAGTCAAAGTCAGCTAACCTAAAGTTGAAGAAGTAACCTATTCTATTCATGAGAACATTTAAGGTTTTTGCCAAATCATTTCATGGAAAACGGGCATTCCTAAATAATCATAATATGTACAAAAGAAAATGGGCCTTGTTTCCTTCCCAAATCACAGAGTTCATGTAAGCCGTTTTCTCTTTGGATATTGCTTCAATTTGCCAAATCCAGTAGCCAGAGGAAGAAAACCTGTTCTCAGTTATGCAACTAATGATAAACAACATATATAATATGATAAAAGATTTTTGTTCTATATGGATATATGTGCTTAATTTAGTTTTTTATAAAATATTTCCAAGGCCTTTTCCTTAAATTTGAATAAAAGCTTACTTTTATGGTGTAAGCTTCACTGCACATATTAGATATCCAGCATCTGTCTCAGCAAAATTCCTCTAAAGCTTTTCAGTCCATAGAGAAATGTTATATTTACCATCATATTTGGAATTCTATGCAAGATTATGACCTTTATACAAGATTAAAAATGTCTCACATACTAAAAAGGTCTACCCAGATACTGTCTTTTCCCAGCAGACAATCGTACACACACCTGTGCCGGCTCCCAGCCTGACTCCTCCCAGGAAGACGTTGCTGGCCAGAGTCTCTTTATCCCACACAGTGAGCTCCAGGCAGACATTGTTGAGGTCTCCTGGCTGCAGGCCACAGTAGGTGAAGGTGTGGTTCCACACTGGGTTCACGGTGTGTCGCTCCACTGCTGTCTTGTGCTTGGTTGACTTGTTGCTGTCAGGGAGCAGGTACCTGGCGGGGGAGGGGGAATAAAAACAGCTTTACTGCACAATGTTCATGTTGTGTTTTTGTAAATCTCATTTAACAAAAGAGCATCTCACCCTTTTACAAAAGGATCTGAAGCGCCCCCAGCCTTGATGGCAGTCAGATTTTTGGCTCCTTTGACAAGCAGCTCAACCATACCCCCTTGAGGCAGAGTGAAGCTGCTCCTCTTGCCTTTCAGGAACCCTTTCTTCACTGAGGTGGGAGGGAAGCAGAGAGGAAGAATAAACAATTGTCATTTCACAATTTGTAGTGAAGTGCTTTATACATGTGTGCACATACTGTGCACATGCACCTTGTATGTGCAAGCAGGACACGTACTTATGAAAGTGAGCTGGTACATTTTCTTTTATAAACCACAAAACAGTGAGCCAAATTCAGGTGTAAACAACCCACAAATGAGTTATAGAGAAACTAATTCCAAAATAAAAACATTGATCAAAAATAAAATAAAGGGAATATGAATATTTTAAGACAACTCTCAGAATGATCAACTGTTTCAGCTAATCAGACATCCCCAACCGTAGACAAACCCAACAGGGACTAGTAGTGCTATTGAGTGCTGCAGAGACTGTTTTGGTTTGTGTCCATGAAAAAAAAAAAAAACGTATTTAATTTTATTTTTATAATTTTTTTTACTTCTGCCAGATGAGTCCCAGGGATATTGGAAAGAAAAAAGACAAAACTATTCAAAATCAGGCAATACATACAACACTACATACATATAATAATACTAAAATAGTAGTGCTGAATGTCGGCTAAGGACAGATTGACACTGGGGTAACTTCACAGAATAGACAGTACATTCATTTTGAAATAGCCAGAGATATCAGATTCATCAATTGTGAACCATCAATCAGAGCCATTTCCCCTGCTTTGTCTGAATAGTTTTTAGAAGCCTGAAGTAAAAAATTTACCAGAAATTTCAACTCATAAGAATAAAAGCAAAGATTAGAGGATTATCTGTTTTCCTATCCTAATTACCTCATTCAGTTTAATTCAAGTAGCTTGCCACCCAGATGAACAGATATCACACTTCAGACATAATAACAAAAATAACCTTCATTAAAATTTAACTTTTCAAAAAACAACTGCAATGTGCTTTACAATAAAAACAGTAAAAATGGGACAGATATAAGAGCAGAGAATATTAAAGGTTAATAAAAAAACAACTGGATAAAAACCCAACAGAATAAAACACTATCTCACTTAGCAAAGTAACAAATAGTCACAGAGAGGCAGTAAAATGGGGATTTTAGAAAAGACTTAAAAGATTAAAGTGAATATAATCTCCTCATACAAGTCATTCCGAAGAGCTCTCTCTATAAAGGCTGTATCAGCTTTGGGTACACCTGGACTTTGGAACAAATGCTGCCTTCAAGACAACATCTTTTCCAGGGACGCCCATGCATATTTCAACAAGATGATGCAAAACCTCATAGTGCACACATTACTAAGGTATGGCTTTGGAGGAGTGCTGGACTGGCCTGCCTGCAGTCCCGACCTTTCCCCATTAGAGAATGTGTGGTGCATTTTGAAATGCAAATTACATCAACGAAGACCCAGGACTGTTGTGCACCTTAAAGGGCCCGTGTCATGGCTTTTCCTTGTTTTTTGACTTATCTACAATGCTACAACGGTGAATGATCATCTTAGACGTGAGCTAAAGTTCAAAAAATGAGGTGAACATATGTTATTAGTATTTCTATGCAGAAGTAACTTGGTTTATACATGTCTCACATACTCTTGCTTGCGAGATTTTTTTCTAACAAAATTAAGTATTACATGATAATTTAAGGATTTCCTTGAATGGGCATAAAATCCAGGTCATTGTGCATTCATGCGAGCTTGCCTGACACCCACCGGTGACCCCACCATATTAGCAAAATCTTACATTGCCTTGTTTGTTATGTGTATTTTCAATAAAGCTTATGTTAAAAAAAAAGACATCCACGCTGTCATTTTAAAAGCAGAATTTTTCGACTGCGCCTGGTTTTATAGATATATTTTAGGTCTTGCTGCTGCACTGTGACCAGTGGGTCTAACCTACAAGCAGCCTTAATTGAAGCTATATGATATTTACACTGCATGAACTATTCAAACTCAACACTCCATGTTCTATGACTGCATTATTTCATTAAATATTCTAGTATCTTGTAGATCATTTTAATTTTATTTCCCAAAAACATATTTGGCATAGACGCTGCACAACATGAGTATGTAATAACAGCTGACCAACTAGTGAGCTGCTTCTTGTTAGAAGAGTTAAATATAAATTTTCCAGTCTCACATTCAGCACTTCCTGCCATGGTCTGACCTGCAAAATTGTTTTTGTGCTAATAGCTTTCAGACTTTCCCTGAATTTTATTTTCTATTAGTGCAGAGTGCTGCTGCTGGACAACTGTCTACATGAAAAAGTACAACCCCAAATCAGAAAAAGTTGGGATGGTATGTAAAATCTAAATTAAATCTGGTAATATAGATTTGTAAATAATCTATGTCCTGTATTACATTGAAAGCAATACAGCAGCATATTATTTAATATGATACCTCATCAATTTCATTCTTTGTACAAAATAAATACTCATGCCATGGGCCATTTAAAGTTACCTAAGGCAAGACAAATGAGAAAATCAAACTTTATCTGTTTCAAAATATTGGTATTTTACTCTTAAGGGGGTTAGACTTGTTTTATTTCTTTTAAAAGTTTGATTTTGCATCTAGATACAGTTTAACATTCTATGGGGTAGAGCATGATATATAATATAGTATATAACAGTCATCACAGCTGCAAACATACCTTGTACTTGGTCCGCTGGCGGGATTTGGCTCTTCTCAGGAGGTATGTACTTCAACACGACTGTCAGTTCCCCTTTGTACTGCATGGTGGCATTTGTACTGCTCTCTGCCTACACAAACACCATTCACAAACCATTCAGACTCCTGTCTTTGTATATGTTTGTATACAGTAGAAGACATGCTGACATGTACATGCTATTACTACCTTGGGCTGCAGAGCATACCACTCCTCTATTTCAGAATCAAACTCCCAGGAGTCAAAGGTCAGCTCCACTTGTCCAAGGAAGCTGTTTTGTCCGAACCGGTCGTAGTGCCACACAGAGACCTGCAGGGTTCGTGTCTCCAGCTGCGAGTGGCTGATCACATACTACACAACATAAAAAAAGGTGAGCTCAGTGATTTGAATTCAGCATCATTCTAGAGTTCATAGAATAAACAGCTTAAAGTTCATGCTTGTTGAGTTTTTCCAACCACTGACCCTCAGTCTCTCATTGAAAACAGGGCTGGTGGTGTTGGGCTTGATGCTCGTCTTCCTCTTGCTCTGTCGTGACATATCCGGCAGCAGGTAAGTCTTCACATAACTGCCATGAAAAAGACACTCTGACTCAATCTTGGCATATCAGCTGCCAATACTGGAGTTTTGAGGTCTGCACCAATATAATTATTTGAGAGTAATACGTGTAAATTTTTTCTTTTCTTTTAGAGTACATGTTTGGCAATGATCCACTGACACTGATGTGAAGATATTGCTGGAGAAGGATAATGAACAGCTGACCAATAAATGTTAGTGATGAAAGTATCAGCTTATACCTTGAACAGAAAACTTGAAAATAAATGATCATCAATAAAAACTATAAAAAGACAACACAAATAAATAACCTAAATAAATTCTCCAACAATTTATAATTGTTTTCTTTCTTATGGGGAGTTAGATCTGCATTGAGGCCATTATCAGTCCTTCCAACATCAATTCTAATTGTGTGTCTGTGTTTTGTGCATGCACACTCTTACGGGTCTGTGCGCTGCTTCTTCTCGTCTCCCACCGCCAGGTTGTGACACTCCTTCACCAGGACATTGAGAGCACCGGTTTTGTATACAGCAGGAGCTCACCGCTCACCCTGGCATTATCATAGTCACCAGTCTCACTGTAGATGCTCATCATGCTGTTTATACTGGTCTGTTAGGCAAGGATGAGAGACACAGAGGAAATATGAGAGGGGGAGATGATCAGAGGAGAAAACGTGCATGGAAGAGGTAAAGAAAGAAAACATGAGAAGTCAGGCAAGAAGAGAGGAGGAGGAATATGAAGAAAACAACAACAGAATACTGGTGAAATATGGCGGAAATAAAACAGCTGCAGCTCCTCATGAACAGGAATGTAATAAAAATCTGTTGCAATACACAGTGATGTTAACTAACTTCCACATTACTACTGCTGCACGCCCAAATGTTCAGTGGCCCATTGGACATACGGTAGATGAGGTTACTGTAGTATATGGGCCTTGCTCAAGGAGAGCTCTGCTCTCAGTGAAGCCCCTCTGCACAAATAAAGGTTTTATGTAACTTGAACTTTTGACCACAATCCAAAAATTCAAGATGAAGTCACAGTTTTATATGGATGTCACAGCATTTTCAATTTGGACACTGAAGAAGTTGTGAATTTCATCAGTGTTGATATAGTGATGTCATGCTATATTGTGAAAATAAAAAATGCAAAAAGCAGTAGTACTGTAGTAGTACTTTCTTGATTAACATAATCATTTCATCTTTGAAAAATCAGAAAATTGTAAAAAAAAAAAAAGTCAGTTTCATGCAGCCTAAAGTAAAGTCTTCAAATTGTTTATATTGTCCAGAATCAAAATATATTAAATTTACTCTCACAAAAACAATGCACCGTATAGCATAGCACCAAATCCACACAACTGATTATGTGGAACATTGTAACTTTTTGCATTTTGTTTGCAAAGTGACTTGTAGTTGCTGATTAATTTTTATTTGATCAACTGCTCAAATGTTAGCGCTGTTACTTCACAGCAAGAAGGTTCTGGGTTCGAGCCCCAGCCAACCCGGGGCCTCTCTATACAGAGTTTGCATGTTCTCTCTGTGCCTACGTGGGTTCTCTCCGGGTGCTCCAGCTTTCTTCCACAGTCCAAAGACATGCAGCTTAGGTTGATTAGAGACTCTAAATTGCCCATAGGAGTGAGTGTGGGTGTGTGTTTGTCTGTCTCTAAGTGTCAGCCCTGTGATAGACTGGCGATCTGTCCAGGATGGACCCCGCCTCTCACTCAGCTGGATCGGCTCCAGCACCCCGTGACTCTAGTCACAAATAAAGAGGATAGATAATGGATGGAACTACTTAATTAATGCTGAATTATCCCAGCTTCCATTGCAAGTCATAAAAATACACAAAAAAGATACTTTGTTCAAATAGCAGGCAGACTTGATCAAGGGTAAGTGGAATATACAGTAGGTGGATCAGAATAATAAACAGGATTTTTAAATAAATCCCTAAAGGCAAACGAGTAAAAAAAAAAAAAAAAAAAAAACTCCAGATTTCAGTGTTTATAAGAACAGTGCAAGTCGCTGATCATGTGGTCTCACTATTACCAGTCACATCAAACGTATACACTCCATCGGTGTATGAACATGTGTCTGCATTTCCTGAGTTTCATAGATTGACAAATAAAAAAGTAAAAATTCCTCCAAGACAAACAACTACTTCATGTTGTGTACCTCCAAAACCTATTTCATGAATGAAAGACTCCAATACAATGCAACCAAAGCAGGTGATTGGGAAGTGGGCAAACATGACTGCTGCAGCTCTGCACAGGATATAACTGGTATAACCCACTACCAGTAAGACTGGCGTCCAGGAAGAGCAGAAGTCAAGAAGTCAGACTTGAGCAACACTGTGCTTCTTCTACTGGAAAGCCTGTCTCATTTATTTCCTGCAGAGAATCAATGTGAATTTAATGTGAGGAGGGTAGACTTAATGGAACTAGATGTAGCTACTATCACAGGCAAGGATGAGGAAAAACATACACTGAACATGCAGGTTCATTCAGAACATGGCGGTACACTCGGGAAAAACCAGCAAATATTATTGAATGTCATATGTAACATTTGTGCTCTGGTGCTGCACCTTAACTTTCTATAATGTAGTGATGAATTTAAATACATGCACATACGTGGAAGAGGAGACTTACAGTCTCAGCATCTGAGTCGGGGACACTGAGGTGCCCCCACCTTCTCTCTGAGCCAGGAGTGGAAGACTAGGAGCCGATTCATTTAAGAGATAGATAAACAGGGGAAGAAAGAAGCAAAAAGAGAAGGAGAAAGATCTGAGCTCTTTAAAGTATCAGTGATATAGGCAGACCCCGAGCACAGACCCCCCCGGCCCCTGAGGAGGAGCTGCAGAAACACCGTCTCCAGCAGCACAGCCAGAAACCACATTACACACGGTTACCATGGTGATTATCAGATGAAACCAGAGATTACAGCTCATTTGGAATCAGCTGTTAAATCAACATGACCACACATACACACACACACACACAATGCAACAGTCAGAATGAGAGAGAAGTCCACTTCCTCCCCGATGTTTACTATTTAAATTATCATAGACAAATGGGTGACAGAGGAAAAATCCTAAATAGACAAGTGGTCTCTTCCAGGATGACAGTGTCCCTATTCATAACACTGGCAGAGTAGATTAGAGCTTGATTCAAACTATCGGTAAAATGGCTCTCATCACCTCCGTCCACTTCCATTCATTCTATCAACAGCAGCTCAGTGAGATGACAGTAAATGTCAGACAGGCAGGACGTGTCTTGTCTGTTTACCTGTGCACTTCTCAGATGACACACTCTCACTCTCACAAATACAAATGCAGGCCAGTGAACACAGCCCAAGTCCTGAAGCAAGACAATTATTTGGGCCATTTAAAGAACTGAATTTTCTGCCAGACTAAGTGCTTTATATTTGGCTGGGAGGGCATCCATGTGAAAATAAGGTGGATAATTAAGTTTATTTTGAAAATCAAATCAAGTAAAAAAGATTATATATTTAATATGACATTTAATCCAATGTTGCTAAAATATCAATTATTGCAGCTTTATATGTTTTGAGTGTAGATATAAATCTAAAAGATGAATATTTCCAGACAATGTCTTTTGGTAAGTTGAGTGAACAGACCCGTTAATATGAAGAAAATAAACTTTTTTGGCCTTGAATTAATGTTCTACAAATATTAAACAAAGCTACTTTAGCATTTAAAAAACAGATGACTCTTATAAAGTGTATCTTACTCCATTTTCTGTGTGATTACACAAAGTAAACCTTCACACTGTCATACTATATACCCATCATCCGCAACATTACGACCACTGACAGGTGAAGTGAATAACAATGATTATGTGGTGGTGGTGGTGATGTCACAACTGGGGGAGCTGTTGAATGTGTCTAAAAAAATTCTCTCTAACTTGTCCTCACGACCACAGTTTTCACTCCCTTTACACAAGTTTTTCACTGAATGGTTGACACATTTGTGCTCTTCCTGACAGTAAAACTATGAAAGCAAACGGGTTCACAGAGGATAAACAGTGAGCTGCAGAGTGACATGACCAACCAACTGCCACACTGACTCCTGTGTACACAGTATTAGGCAAGTGGTCATAATGTTATGGCTGAGTGGTGTATGAGTCAAATTAGTGTATGTAAATGCAGCAGGCCTCCATATTGTTGATGATATAAGCCGTCTGCTGGCCACACTGCTCACACTGTTTACACAGTCAACAACACTAGAGCATACAGTCCTTACTCACGCACTGCGTTAGGGTGAGTATACTGTATGTGTGTGCACACAGGACTTCTCAGAATATGTCCTCAATAATTTAGTGTTTGCTAGCTTTAACATGGGTGTTACCATTGACAGAGCGCTGCTGAGGCGTCGGCTGACAGGCTTTCTGTGGGCTAATATCAGGGCATCAATGTCTTCCTCTGCGTCATCATCCGAAAACCCCTGCAGATGACAGAATTCAGATTTAATCCAAAGGGAGGTATCATCTGGGAAGCTGGCCACAGTATATTTGCACGGTTTTGCACACAGAAGCTCAGTGTGGGTCGATGCAGATACACAGATGCAGACAGTCGGGGGTAAAGTATTGTGATTTTTTTACTCATTTGTCATGAGCAATATTACAGTGTCACTGGGTCTACAGTATACATGGAAGCCAGAACGGATGAGCAGATTTATGTTTGAAATTGTGTGTGTGTGTGTGTCTGAGAATGACCATGTGCTTGTGTTTCTGTGAAGTGCTTTGAATGCAAATGAACATTTAGTAAACACAGAGACAAAGCAGCCCTATACTGACCGTCACATCCTCCACCTGTTCTCAGCCTACAACCATTTAGATGCTTGTCAGGCTCTTTGAAGTGAGCTCTGAAGGGAAATTAACATTCAGCTCCACATTTGATGCATCTTATTGAGTTCACCAGCCCTCATATTAAGTCCTCAGCTTAATATGGACATGGACTATAGTGAATATATGCATTTGAAATGGGCATGGACTGAAAAATCGAACAGGCTGTGCAAGTTTACTGCCGCTTACTATTTTGTTGAGGCCGGGGACCGAACGACTTCGGAGACTGAGGGCGTCATCGCTGGGCTCTGAATCTGGAGCCGACAGGTCCATCTCCGAGCGACTGTGATCTGGAGCAGGATTTGGAGAGATCGGGGGATGCAGAGAGGGAGGAGGAAGGAGGAGAAAAAATTGCTTCAAAGATGCTGCTTGAAGGGAGTGAGGGAGCAGATAATGCAAAAGAGGGTAGAAACTAATCATCATCACAGTGTTATCTGCTTGGACAAGGTGCGGAAAGATACAGTCCATGACAGAACAATAATAAACTTAATTTACTTTGCACTTGTTGTGCAGAAAATGCATATGCAGCATTCCTATGGAAGATCCATATTCAGGTTAAATGATGCTTGCCTGTCATTTGGTCCCTACAGAGAGGTATCAGACCATCACAAAGCTTCAGGGCCCCATAACAAGCAGCACAATTTTCCATCCCTAACCTATCATTATACACACATACAGTGATTTCATAGACACCATTACAAAGGCCAAAAGCCGACGATCTTGTTGGCTAAAACCCACTGGTACAGTTAATCACACTCAGTGGCAACAGGACAGTCAAAGCCCTGTGTTTGTTTGCAGTAACTAAAACAACTGTCAATGTTCTCTCAGGTCAGCCACATCATCATCATCATGGTGACCTGAAATATCAGAAGACATAACACATCGTGCTAAATTGCTTTCTACCTTCTCCCCTGTCCTACTAATATTATATCAAGTAGAAGAAAATTATAGCAGTGGCTATTCAGCAGTGTGTTCCAGCATCCCAGAATCACCCTCCTTTACCTGCACCAACAACACAATCCTCCATCTACTCTACATTGATAATCAGTCAGGTATACTGTTAGCAAACAGTACAGCATGCTGCCATATCCACCAACTATTTCAAATAACCCAGACAAACCTTTTCTGCTACCTTTTGTAATCAACTCTGTCTTGATATTCACTCAAACTAGTCAGACTTTTTCTATAACCTCAAGTTAACGTGCTAATGCTAACACAAAGCCAGTAGGCATCAGGCAGCCTCATACATCAAACACTAACAATCCTCCTGAGCAAATTTATATCAACTGAAGAAATCAAATATGTTATATCAGGGCTATCCTCTAGTTTCTATTACTCAGTGCAACATTAGAGCAGATTAATGCACAGTTTAATCCATTCATCATGTTTACGTTTGTATTTTTTTAAAGCTTATTATTAAAGTGTCAGAGCTTAAAAGCATGCTTTTGAACTTTGGTGGTAGCCATAACCCCTTCCAGTCTATATGCTAAGCAAATAATTGCCTGCATGCCTCTCAAAATGCCCAGAAAATAATCTAATTAAAGAAAAACAAAATATCCTAAGACTTGATTCTGTTACATCAGTGGTGGAGATCCTCAATCAGCAGCTCTGTTCCAGCTACTGACTGAGCTTTTTACTAGTGGGGATAAAAGGTCTGACACTGAGAGAGAAAGTGCAGGGGATTATACTTAAGAAAGTGCAGTGCAGTTCAGTGTACTGTAAGTTAATAGTGTAACTTGTGCTGATGTGACATGTGCTCCTGACAGGAGTACGGAATAATTTGATCCTTTACAATATACTTAGCAGTCAGAGCTGAGTGTTTTTACACAGCCCTGACAGGACTGTCTAATGTCACTTTTGATATGATACTGCTGCATCTAGCATGTCTTAAAACTGTGACTCAGATATACAATATATGTGCGAGACAGCAGCTAGAGTCATGTCGCTTCAATCAGAAGAAAACAAAAACAAGACAGAAGAGGAGGTGTAGTCTGTACTGGAGATACCTGATGAGACAGAGGCCTTGGACACAGAAATAAGTGGAGTTTCAGAGGTCCTCCTGTGATGGCCAGTGGCCTTCTTCTTGGGTGCAATGTCTCTGGGGACTAAATTGTCAACACTCTCCGCTCCGTCAGGCTGCTTGCAAACACAAACACACACCCAAGCTCTTCAAATAACATTTTAATCTGGCTGATTTCCTCTAGTCTGTTGCTCAGTGTATGTGTGTCAGTTGCTCACCCTGACCCTCCTGCTGTCACTGGAAGTGGGCACTCCATCTTGCTTTGGGGGACGCAGGTTGTTGGGTACTGTGGGCATCCCTGAGGACTCCAAGGCCACAGCACCAACCCTGAACACCAGATAGAAACCAGTTCAGCACCATCAACAGGTATTTTACACCAGAAACCGGTGCTTCAACATGAAATAACATTCATTTAAGTCTTGGATTGCTGCGTAACACACATGGGAAGCAACTGGTCTGAGGCTGTCTAAATAGGATTTACTCAAATACCACTTTAATAGACATTTTAACAACTGTCACTGCCATCTCACTTGATTTTTCTATAATTTTTTTTTCTTTAGCAATAAAAATGCTTTTGAAAACATGATGCTGAAAGGATTCATTTTTAAAATAGATATGACTCAGTTTTACATGTATGAGATTTTTAAAATTCTTCATTGTAGAGGTTTCATACTGCAGACTGCAGGCTGAACCACTGCTGAGATAAATATCCTCTGTTGTTATTCACGTCGGCACTAATGACTCCAGAGGAGTTATTCATAAGAACCTAATTAAAATTAAGATGACTCCTCTTATAGTAGAAAGTAAAAGGACAATCAAATGTGGACTATTAAATATCAGATCTCTCTCATCTAAATCTCTGTTAGTGAATGATTTGATAAGTGAACATCACATTGACTTATTGTGTTTTACTGAAACATGGTTACAGCAGGAAGAATATGTCAGCCTAAATGAATCCACTCCACCTAGTCACAGTAACTGTCACATCCCTCGAAACACAGGCCGAGGTGGTGGCGTGGCAGCGTTCTTTGACTCAAGCTTATTAATCAACCCTAGACCTAAACATAGTTATAACTCATTTGAAAGTCTCACCCTGAGTCTCTCACACCCAAACTGGAAAACTCAAAAGCCTGTTCTGTTTGTTATTGTATACCGTCCACCTGCTCCTTATTCAGAGTTTTTAAGTGAATTCTCAGACTTTCTGTCTGATTTAGTGCTTAGTACAGATAAAATAATCATAGTAGGCGACTTTAATATTCATGTAGATGCCGACAATGACAGCCTCAACAATGCATTCTGTTCATTATTAGACTCAGTTGGCTTCTCTCAAACTAAATAAACCCACTCACTGTTTTAATCACACTCTTGATCTGGTTCTGACATATGGCATCAAAACTGAACACTTAATAGTTTTTCCCCATAACCCTCTTCTGTCTGACCATTTTCTAATAACTTTTGAATTTCCATTAATGGATTATACTCTATGTGGGAAACAATTCCACTACAGCAGATGTCTATCTGGCAATGCTGTTACCAAGTTTAAGGAAATAATTCAATCTTTATCTACTTCAGTGCCGTTTGCCAACACAGTGGAAGGAGGCCACCTTAACTTTACTCCAACACAAATCGATAATCTTGTTGATAGTACTGCAGCCTTCCTGCGTAATACACTTATACCATTGCCCCTCTGAAAAGGAAGGCAGTGAAACAGAG